AGAGGAGAGGAGAGCAGTGGAAATCTATGGGCCGGTCCTTGGGACAGAAGATCCCTGAGTGCCTGATGTGCAGATGTACAGAAGGCAGAGGAGAGGAGAGCAGTGGAAATCTATGGGCCGGTCCTTGGGACAGAAGACCCCTGAGTGCCTGATGTGCAGATGTACAGATGTACATTAACCGCAAAGAGCTTGTCGGGTTTGGGAGTTGGGTCAGAACACTCTCTTCTGTTTCCTCCTCTTTGCAGCCTTCCTTCCCAGCAGCTTCTGCATGTACTGCACCATCGTAGCCATGACAGGCTGGTACATGGACCGAACATCGTTGGCAGTCCTGGGTGTGGCCGCCGGAGCCATTGTGGGTTGGCCGTTCAGCGCAGCACTGGGGTAAGTGGGAGTCCGAAGGAGGGGGTGGGGATGTCAGAAGTGTTTCAGGATGGCAAGACGTGAGGTGTTGTTTCTCAAACTTGGCGACTTTAAGGCGAGTGGACTTCAGCTGTGCTGGCGGGGGATTTCTGGGAATTGAAGCCCACCCATCTGAAAGTTGCCAGGATTGAAAGATTCAACCCCAGGGGGTCATTTGGGATTCGAAGATGCTTCGATGCTTCCCAAACGGCGTCTTTCTAACCAGGTAATATCAGCAGTGCTGGACTTTGCAGAGTCGGAAAGAATTGTGGGGTCCTTGGTGCTCTCTGAACCTGGTTGTTTTCTTGCAGACGTTTCATGACCCAACTAGGTAACATCATCAGTGATAGAAGGGAGTGGGGGTTTGCTCCATTGATGTACTGGTGGCTGGCTGTGTCAGTGTTGGTGGGAATCACCTTGGTGCTTCCTTGATTAGACTGTTGGTGTTGTGGCCCGCTGGCGGTCAGCAGAACTGGCAGCAGAGTCAGACAGGGAGGAGTTTGGGGAGGAACATGGGCCAGTCCTGGAGATGGAGAGAAGCTCAGAGGAGGGCTCTGCGTCGGAGGCAGAGAGGGAGCCGTCTGGCAGTTCTTAGCTGCCTTCGGAGCTAGACAGCAGTGAGGCAGAAGAACAGCTGGAGCCTGTTCCCAGTGTGCGCATGAGCAGAGCTGCCAGAAGACAAGGAAAACTAATAAATCAGAGTCAACTTGGGAGTAAAGCCACACCTTGGAGGTGATTGGCCCCTCCCCATAGGAGACAAAAGAGGAGCGAATGGGGAGGGGGCTTTTGCAGGAAACCTTTTGTTCATTCGCTCGTTTCAAGAATGGAAAGTTCTGTTTGTGACTATAAAAGACTCTGTGCCAAATTTTGCCTTTGGAAACTGGTTATCTGGCAGCTCTCCAGGCGAGATAAGGTTCGTGTGGATAAACACTCCTCTGAAAGACTGTTTGCTAAGCCTGGCTGACTGTGAATGAAAGGAATTCCCAGTCGTGTAAATAAAAGAGGGTTTGCCGGGACCAAGACTCCGCTTCATGCTTGTTAAGGAAGCCCTGATTAGAACAGTTGGTTACTCTTTGACTGAGTTGGTAATTCCTCAACTGGGGTATTACGTTGAGCTGCAATAGTTTCCCGCACCTCCCCTCGTAACGTCCGCCTGGGTCTTCCGTTGGGCAGCCTCCCGATTGCCTTTGACTTGCTGGTCCTGACAAGACGTTGGAAGAGCTTCCTGCAGTGGTCCTTGGTGTCTCTGCTGGTGTTTCTGGTGAGTCTTCCAAGGGCGTCCTGGGGGGAGGAGGGGGCTCTTCTCAACCCTTCGCCCTTGGTGGGCTTCTACATCGCCCTTTGCCCTCGAGGACAACAACCCGTCCTTCCCCTGTCCTTCCCTAACAGCAATAGCAGTTAGACTTATATACCGCTTCATAGGGCTTTCAGCCCTCTCTAAGCGGTTTACAGAGTCAGCATATCGCCCCCCACAGTCTGGGTCCTCATTTCGCCCACCTCGGAAGGAT